ATTAATAAAAATTACTTGAACGTCTTTTTTTTAAATTATTATAATATATTATATATTATATTAAAATAATACTTTTTGGTGAATTTGAATATCAATATGAAGGTACCACGTACACGGTCCGACTTTGGAAATGATCATGCAAACAATGGACTCCAGATTAGGTGCATTTCTCTAAATTTTCCTACCAATATGACCAAGTTGCGATAACAATGTCAAACAACCTCTAGAAAACTTGTCAGTTTGACTATTGCGGTTAGGTGCTAAGGATTTCGCTTTTTTCTAAAGTTGCCGACTACAATGCGTCTGGAGATGTGCAATTTTGACAGTCTAAGTCTGTAAATTATAATGAACTCTATAGCAGAGGATGCAGTAAGTAATGGGTATGCTCTTCGAGAGATATCTGAGACCATGATCAAGTTGCGAGAATGAGGTGTTAACTCCACGATAAACAAGTTGAAAATACCAAAAGCATAAAACTTTCTTACAATATTATTCGCGTAATGTTCATAGTAGTTGGGTTTCGAGACTAGAATAAGTTCAATTTTTCCTCAGTTGAATAAGTGGGTCCTATAATGCCGAAGAACTTCATTTAGCCTTGCTTCCAAAAGGTATTCTCACAGCAGTTTGAAACTAGTCTGGGTCTCATCAGCACCTTAAAAGGGAATCAGCCCAGTGCAGCCGAGCGCATAGTTTCTATTCATTACTTATGAATATAAGTAAAGAAGTCTACACTCCTACAATAAATGCAAGATTGGGGCGTCTTAAATCGCCTTGAAAGTCACGTCTGCTCTGTGCTCGAATGGCACCTGTGGTGGCAACAGATCTAGAATATATGCTAAACTAGTACCGTGAGGAAAATTTCAGTATTCGCACAGCATCATCTTACGCGGCATAAGGTAAATACAATTCGTAGTATTCTTATTGGCTTAAAAAGTCGTTTTAATGTATCAGAGAAAATGACAAAATGTGATTAAAGGAATTGGAACAATGACACTAGATGATGACATAATTAAAAATCAAAATATCTATACTTCAATGTAAGGGACAAGGGAGTAAAAAGCTCTTTCACAGAATCAGTCACTCTACTTCTGGAAAGTTCCATCTTGACAAACATTTCGGAACGAGATTTTGCACGATATCTTCCTTTATAGTCTTATCATGATCAGTGCCTCTTTGCTGGTGAAATGTAAAGCTTCCGGTTCCTAAGTGTTGTGCGAAGCTTGGAATTTCGAGCTTAATAAAGATTGTCTTGGGTCGTATCACATTTATGAGCCTTAAGCTCTAGTCGTGGTGGTTTGTACAAACTAGAATTGACTCTGGAAATTCCTTTGCAACTCAAAAGAATATTTTCAAGTTGTCGACAAACAAATTTTGAAGAAGCGGACTATATATATACATGGATAAATCACTCTTAAGCTTTTAAAAATAGATGCGAAATATGCCGTATTTATTCGTCTAGATGGCGCGAATGTTTGGACAGCACGTAAATATATAAACAGCAGAACGATCCAGTCCAATAAAAAGATTAGAATAGCTTAGGGAAAGCAATAATCTAAAGATATATGCGCATGACCAGACCTCAAAGTTCGTTGGAGGTGCTGCACTAACTGAGAGATTATACTAAAATTCCACTTTGCCTTACCTCTTAAAAGCCATTCCTATCCATGGTGGAATCCAAGTTCTTATCCGAATGATATTTAGGTGCTGAAGATAGCAAAGTGCGAATACGAACTTGAAAATAATAATAATGATAAATCCTCTAATAGACTTTAGAATAATTTTTATATAAACGCATATAAATTGTTTGGTCATAGCCCTTAAGGGCAAGCTCACTTGGCCAGAAGAAGAAAAAGGCAAGTGATGACGACAAGATAGGAGCAGAAGCCAATTGAAAATCGAGTAAGCGGGGCTCTAATGGTCTCCTCTCGTTCGGCGATGGCGTCCATGTACCGGCTGAGAATGTCAAGTGAATTTCATCGTAGATGATCCAGAATACAGATGAAGCAAGAAAAAGAAAAGGAGAAAAAAACAATGAAAAAATAAGGGCACGAAGAAACTAAAAATTAGGAAGGAATTAAATAGCATCGTGAGGCCCACCCATGGCACTATAAAAAAACTCAAGTACAAACTCTTTATCATCTTGTGCAAACTGGGGTGATAATATATGAAAATCTGCTAATTATGAATATCAACTTATGTAGTACTCGTGGATATAGCAGGACAATGTACAAGTGCCGTTCAATTATACTGTCAAAGTTATAAGTTCATGAGTGCTCTTTCAGGCACTAGATCCTAAAAAGTAACTTGAGCTCGCCAGGAGAACATCCAATACCATAAGCGACATAAGGGACTAGAGTAAGGTTAGAGATATTAATCATTCTATTGTGCCCGTCATCTTTAATTCGTTCCATTTATCAATCTTTGAATTAGTCCATTCTAATATTTCCTCAGTAAAAAAACGTAGGTTACCAGGCCTCACCGAAAGAGAGTTGGATTGATCATCTCTGGTTCTGCCGATCTTGGAGAGCCCTGGAATGGCCAAGGCAAGGAGAATACTGCTCTTGTGAATCCCTCGGGAGCAGAATCATGCTTAGTCTGCCTGTCAGGCCACTGGTGTCCAGATCCAGCGTCTGGTCTGGAAACAGGCGAAAGTTCACAGTCCACTGTGGCACCAGTGCACAAACCAGATCCCAGAGTTGGAGCCAAGGTACCACAGCTGGTCGCCATGGTGCTAAGCGATGCAGTGGTTGCTGTAGTCGCGACGATGGGGGCAAGATGGTTGCAGGGATCAAGGCCGGGCAGAGAGATGGGAAAGGCGAATTCTGGATCGGAGAGATTGTTGAGGAGAGGAAGAGCTTTCCTCTTTGTGAGCGGTTGACCGGAAGGACTGCCGGGTCGTTCTTGCAGCCTTGGTTGGTTCAACCATGCACCGTGGTAAATGTATGTATGTGTTTTTGTGTACCAATGTAGGCAAGCATAGAGACATTTGTATTAATAGCCTAAACTTCACACACTCGCATCGTAGATAGAAAGTAGAGGTGCTGTAAAAAAGAGGTAGCAAGCCCATAAAAGACTATTTATGACAGTGAAGTACAATTTTATGCCCTTATAGCATTCTCCTACACAAGAATCGGCATCAATGAGCCGGAAATTGGGGAGATGTAAATTTTCGAAGTAAGGAATACAAATTGTGCAATTAGCCACAAACCGAGGCACACAGGCACACGGACACACTCGAAAACGAGCAGATGAGGACACACACTTGCATGCACGCATAAATGCACATTAATTCGTTCTTAAAAACAAGACAATAATTTTCTTAATATCATATTGTCAAGCATTTTTCTGATACACAGCATATGCTTACGCAAAATCCTTTGGTGATCTGAGCCAATCTTACCGGTACTTACAATGAATTAATTTTCAAATAACCATAATTTCACATGTATAGGATTATACCGTATTATTTGTTGCATCGCTCACTACGTTCACAATCTACGAGAGCAGAGATGCAAGTTATTTAATAATGATTGGTTAGTATAAAAAAACTGAACTCACCAGCTTTCGCGCAGCCTCCCAGCCCGCCTTCTGAACGGAGGTACATTGAAGATGGCTGTATGTGACACATCACAGCCAGACAGGTCTGTGGTGGACGCTTTGGAAGTTTGAACGTCTCCGGTGACATTAGAAGTGCCTAATGATCACAAAAACATGGAGAAATAGATTAATGATATATGATATTAAAAGTTAATTTTAAGAGCTGGCTTGCCTATCATGCAGATCTTACTAAGTCGGAGGATGGCAGATGGCAAACAGGCCTCAACAGATTACGAGACAACCGTAATCAGACTTGGCCTACTGGCATACTAGCACGAGTAAGAGAGTGAGCATGGCAGACATGGATTGATGGGCTTACTTAGCGCAGCAGTAAGGGCAAATGACAACTAAAACAGGACAGAAAAGACATCAGTTGTTTCACCCGCAATCGCAAAGAATGCTGAATAAACGGAGTCCTCGAGAGAGCAAGGTAAGTAGTGGAAAAGATTTCCGCTGAAAAACTGCAATGATCTTCTTTGAAAATAATATTCCTGCAGTTGAAACCTGATAAAAGCCATAAAATATGAAGCCAAAAGACTTATTATGACTTTCTCTTACACCAACAAACGGAAAAACAAAAGGAATCAAATAGACGCAGGATATCGTAATCAAATTTACAAAAATTATGCCCCGATTTGGTACAAAAGTATGCAAACGTAAACAAGTCGATTTGTCAAAGCAATTTGTATGTTTACACTTATTAGATTACCCATTTTTCTATTAAATATGGGGACAGGTGTTGAGCTTACTTTTATTTCGAGTGGAAGTGTTGGGTGAAGAGATTCGAAGGTCGGTAGAAAGGGGGAGATAGGGGTCATCAAACCTCGATGGCCAAAAACAGACGTTCCCTTTTGCTGTCCTAATAACTTTGAGCAATCACTTCGGGTTTCATGCATAAGCGAACACAAACATGCATATACAAATACAAATACAGAGACAGACACACTCACATGCATATAAGTTGACATATGACCTTAATTAACCAAATCGCTTTATACTTGATCAGATGTAGAGTATATATACCACTTTTTAGGGATTTTCCGGTGAGTTTTCTTGACTCGTTAGCTTGAAT